AAGGAAAGTTTCCAGAGCAGGCACACAGCAGTGCCTGTGACTCCCTGGATAAAGATATCAAGGCTGCTCTCTTCACCAAGACAGAATCAGGTAGAGAAGAGTGAACTATTACTTGGCTGATTTGCAGTAGCTCACCTTTGTTAAACTAGTCTTTGATCTTTAAATGAAGACATGAGCCACATTGCCACTGCAGACTTCCTTCACTTACAGAGGCTAGATATGCAGCTGGGAGAGTGGAATGGAAAATTTCATGCAAGCCAAAACAAATATTTTTCTGGCTCAGACACTGGTACCTTAAATACAGAGCTGTGTTGTATTTGTGTGTTAGTCTTCCTCTTCAAGCGTGACAGACAGCCTTTGTTTATTTGTGAATGTGTCTGAAAGAGTCTGTGTTAATAAGAATGTTGTTTTTATTCCTTCACCAGCAGAAGATAAGAAGTCCAACAGCTCCATTCGATTCCACTCGTTCAGTCGGAAGGAGTCCATCCCTGAAGACGAGTTGGTGCTGAGAGAGCGAAGCTTTGACTACAAGCACAGATACTGTGGTCACTGTAACACCACCACAGATATCAAAGAGGCCAACTTCTTCGGAAGGTCAGTAGATCTTCCTCCAGTCTGCTGAGAACACACTAGGGGGCAGCCACGAGCTGTGTAGCCCAAGACAGAGACCAGTAAATCTATACTGGAGAATTAGTAGTGTAAAAACCTATAGTCAAAAGAAGCTTTTACTCATGAATATGGGATAAGGTACTCTATCTAGATTATAATTTGTTCTGCACACGAGGCTCACTGTGAAACGGTTGCACAATTTTGTAATTACTAGTAAATATGACATGTCCTAAGAGCATGGCTTCATTTTCTCCTCCTTACAGCAAAGGCCAGTACATCGTCAGCGGCTCAGACGACGGCTCCTTCTTTATCTGGGAAAAGGAGACAACTAATCTGGTGAGGATCCTGCAGGGGGATGAGTCCATAGTCAACTGCCTGCAGCCCCACCCCAGCTACTGCTTCCTGGCTACTAGTGGTATTGACCCCGTGGTTCGATTATGGAACCCTAGACCAGAGGTAAAGCACTCAAACTGAAGGGTATTTATATATGCATGTTGCTGGATTTTGACAAAATCTGGGGCACGGTGTGTGCCATGGTTTCATTACATCATTCCAAAATCATTTTACAATTGTACTGATTTGTCATATTGAGACAGTGATATATTTGTTTTATTTTAACCAAGCAACTGTCATTTAAAATGTTGTTTTAGTTCATTTACTGTACAAAAAAAGCAAGATACAAAACTATTTAAACGCCTGTAAGTCCCCCTCCAGACACATTTTAAAGCATGTACATATACTCATACTAATACTATCATATAGTTTAAAAAACTCTGAAAATGGGCTAGAAGCACATGTACCACTTTCTCCAGCGCTGACAGGGTGTTATTAGCGCTAGGTTGATTGCTGAAAGAGCTGTGTGCATCAAGATGGCTAGTGTTAGCGTTAAAGGAAACACCGGAGAGATTCAGCCAAACATGTTTGAGCCTCAGTCAGACCCAGACTAAGATAAGGAGTCTTTTGTACAACAAAATCAGCAACTAGCAGACAGATCAGAATGCTTATTTGTTAGCTTGTAGGCTAACTGGCAGCAACTGCCACAGCGTTTGTGGTTGTGAAACATGGAATAACATCTGCTACAATGGGGTTTTTGGTGGCAGTGAAAGGGGGCTTCAGGGTCCAGTTTACACCCAAAAATTGCTCACTCATCATGCTGTCAAAACTGTCGCTATGCTAATTAAACTCTGCTCTCTGTTCTGACAAGTCCACTCTGCGCTGGAGGTTTCAGGTTCTTTGCCAGTGTGTGGAAGTCTGGTTACCCCTGCGATATGTGTTTCCTGTATTAGACAGCGATTGGCTTACGTATTAGTGACGTACCTAATCTAGCTTGCCTGTGGTACATTAAATGTTAGATTTTAGGGGAATGCACAGACACTGCCCCCTTTAGTGAAGGAATATTAAAACACCCCTCTACTGACAAACTTTACACAGACACAATACAGTATAGTCAAGGTCTGACCACATTTTAGGGGACATAAACATAAGAAAAACACATTTTTGAGTGGAGGGGGACTTTAACCAGAGCAGCTGATCTGTGTCTCTTCCTCACCATGACCCTTTCTCCTCCCCTCTACATTCTCATAACACAGACAGAGACTGAGAACGGGCGAGTGGTGGAGGACATGGAGAGTGCTGCTCAGGCGAACCAGCGGCGTATGAATGCCGATCCGTTGGAGGTTATGCTGCTCAACATGGGCTACCGCATCACAGGCCTGCGTGGTGTCGGCCCAGATGGCTCAGATGACGAAGACAGCTCAGAGGGACAAGTGCAGTGTCGGCCAAGCTAAACAAACTGCTCACTCTAGAGAATGGATGTAGGAAGCAAAGCACTCTCCCAGCTCCTGTTTGAATCTTAATTTCCCCCCTCAGTCTGACAGAAACATTGAGTGAATGTCATGTCACATCTCTGCACTATGCATCGCCCTCCCCTGTCCAAAGAGAGGACCGGCGGAGACCACTTTGGGGAGAGGAATTCATGGAGGGTGGAGAAGACGCCCATCTCGCCCCCTTTCAAAGCACCAACAACACCTCAGCCTTTCCCTCCACCCAGCAGTGGCAGGGGGACACCTTTTAGCAGAGCACCTTCCACGTCACTCCCCCAGTTTCTCACGAAGAAGGAGGAGTTCAGCACTTATCCCTCCTCAGGTTTATGTTGGAGAGACACACAACACGTAGAAGAAGAAGCCTGCACACGGGCGACCTATTTTCAGGTCAGTGTGGCCACACAGTGTCCTCCATGGAGGATCGGATCACAGACCAGAATACGGTGCTTTGTTGCATCTCCTGTCCGCTCTGCAGTTGGAGCTAAGAGTCTTAGCGCCCACTCATCTCAGAAAGGCTACACACCCAAGTCATTAATTGTGAGTTAGACTTGGTCATATTTTCAGTTGGAGTTTTGATCACAGGAAGCCTAGAATTAATCGTCACTCTCCAATATGTGAAAGTCGTATTGTTGCTCCGATGAAATGTATCCATAAGCTTTGTTTAGTTTATAACTGTCAGAAAAAAACAAGTGGTTTCTTCTGCCAGAGGTTGTCATCTAACATTTCAGTGGCCAAGGATTAATGTCTATTTTCTTTGTTTCATTGAAACATGAATTTTGGCATACTGTGCTCCTTTTAGTTGAGAGGTTTTACTACAAATAGATTGTTGACAAGCTCAACAAGATATCAGCTGAGAAACATTTGTAAAAAAACAACAACTTTCTAATACAGTTTTTTTGTTATAAATTAAGTCCCATCGATTGCAATTTTTGGCATGAAATGTCAGTGTGAAACTTCTGTTGAGTGTAAGTGGGACGCAGATGCTAATTTTTGGTATATGGCAAGTGGGCACTAAATATTTGGCGATAGGGTTCCTGCCTACTAAGCTGCGTGGCTCTAGCACTAGCCCTCTGCTGCAGTCAGGTGTTCAGTCCTGCTTGCATGAGGCTTCTCTGACCATATTTGTGGGCAAAAAAGCCATCCCATCTCTCTTGCTCAGAGAACAGTTCATTGGGTCTTCTTTGCCCCTGAATAGGGTAAGTATTAAGTTGTGGGTCCTCAACAACATGCAACACTAGGCTTCCATGTGTTTTACTTTGTTCATTAATTTGAGATACTCCATTTTTCTTTGAGGAATCCTGTAATAACCTTTGTTGCAAACAAAGAAACAAATAAAATTATTGAACACCTTGCCTGTGCTCTCTGGCGTTTGTTCTTTAAATGCTAACAATGATGATGAATTGCTCGTCCTTAAAGTGTAACACTTACACAACAGATACAACAGTACTGACACATTACTAACTAGGCTGGGAAGATATACTGTAGGTGAGGCCACGGTATGAACTCTCTGCTCATTCATCAGTGTCTGCTCTACTCCCTGCTTTTGCTGACTATTGGGCAACACTTGTGAGGACAGTAAATCACAAGCATGAGTAGTTAGGGGAGCATTGCATGCCCCATATACTGTACAGTAATGAGGTGACCCAGCTTTGGGAGTAGTGGAGGTTACAGCGATAAAGCCTGCGGCTGAATGAGTCTGTGAGTTAAGGTGCCAAATAGAGCTAAAATGACACAGGGGCTCTATGGCTAAAAATAGAGCTAGAGCTAAACAGAGATGTTTGATAAATGTCTGGCAAAATAATGTTTGATTTAAACAACACAAGCACATTAAACAGCACAAGGTAGACACTTATTCTTTGAAATAAGACGCGCTCCATCCATTGGCGTTATGCCTGATTGCCCCTTGTCCTTGGAGCAATTCAGAAGTGTCTTCATGAATAATAATAATGATCATGGTGTCTACAGCTATTAGGTGCTTAAATTTAATATTTTTTCAAGGTCATTTTTAACCAAAATGTTGGACAAATCATCTTTTTCATGAAGCATAGCAGGTAAGTATACAGGTGTGGTCCTATGCAGAAATAAGTTTTTTATAGGAATATGGTTATTAAAGTGACATGGGTTAATCTACATTTTCTTTCCAGCAGGTAAGTATAAAGTAAAAAGACAGTATTAGATTCAGTGGTAGGTTTAAATATGTGTAACATTTTGACAAAATCAAAGTACTAGATGGATGAATTAAATTAGATCAAATGTTTGTAGCAATTAAGACCCCACAAGTTTAAATTTAAGACTATATAATGACTTTTAAGGCCTAATATTTATAAAATTAAATTTAAGACTTTTCAAGATATTGAGGGACCTTCAGAAACCCTGAATAATACAACAAATAACAATAAATATTCAAAAAAAAATTATACTGTTGTTTTGCTAAAGACTTTGACGACTGGAAGCCCCTAGTACTCATCAAACCTGATTAAATTGCGGTAAGCAAACGCCGCAGTCCAAGCACAAATGAACGGTGTTGCGTTCACAGACTGACAGTTGGTTCAACCGCTGTGGCGACGACGCCGCGCTTCCGCTTCCCCGCCGCCTGCCGTCGGCCGTGCGTCATCTCATGTCACTCCAGGCAGTGATGGCGGAGGTGGACGAAACCGACATAATGATGAGCTATCACGGTGATTTCATCAAAAGCGACAGAAAGAGCACCCGCTACCCGTTCTGCATTGTCTGGACACCTATTCCTATTTTATCGTAAGAAGCTAACACGTTGTTTTGCTAGCGTTAGCTTAGCATGCCATGTTACAGCAGGTTGTTATTTTGCTAACGTCACATGAAATGAAGCAGTCTTACGTTAGCTGTTGGTTAAATCTCATGTTATCTATTTCCTTTTAGTAAATGACTGCATTAAATGTACTCTACTGTGTTTATTCTGTTACACAATCAGTGTGTCGATGTAATGTGTGCTGGCTGCATCCTGCAGGTGGGTGCTCCCGTTCATTGGTCACATGGGTATATGCACCTCTTCTGGAGTCATACGAGATTTTGCAGGATCATACTTTGTCTCAGTGAGTATTGCTTAAAAGTCTAACTATCTGTATTTATCAGCTATAATAGTGTCATGTCATGTAACTGTTCACGTCTGTGTAATGGCCCAGCAGAGTGCAGTGAGACAGAGATGAATCTGAGATGTCATGCTGACGTGCAGAGTGCAGCTGTTGAATTGTTGATGAATGGGAGTCACAGGCAGAGCTGAATCCCATAATAATTGAAAGCATGCACACTAGTATGATTCATAAGATGTTTTAAAATGTGACTTTCTCTCCAGGAGGACAACATGGGCTTTGGCAGACCAACAAAGTAAGTGTAATAATGAAAATATTGTGTATTAATAGTTTAATGGTATTTCAACAAATAGGTCAAATGAACTCATTGACTGTTCACTAATATCGCAGGTACTGGAAGCTTGATGTGGACAAAGTGTGTGGCAACGGTGTTGCTACATGGGACAAAGCAGTGCATGATGCATCTGAGGAATACAAATGTAGGCCGGTAAGATGATATTTAGGATTTCTAATGCACATATTTCCACATTATTGTCATTATATTCATGTAGTAATAACTGTTTTTTCTGTTTTATTGAAGCATAATCTGTGCTTAGATAACTGCCATTCCCACGTTGCCATGGCCCTCAACCTTATGCACTACGACAACAGCTCGTCTTGGAACATGGTGAACCTGTGTGTGCTGTCTTTTATTCGTGGGAAACATGTGAGGTGAGTATTTTAGCCCCATTCTGCCATTTGTTTTATGATTAAGAACTGTTAACATCTTGTTCATGGGTTTTCAGTGCATGTTGCTATGTCTGAACACCTTATCTAATCTGATAAAACAGCAATCACCTTGTTAACATTTGACAGATTTAGCTCCCATAACATTGTAATTACACTATAATGATTTGACGGACTCTTATGGTGTTAAATGCCTTTGTCAAAGACACTTGTACATGTGGACTGAAGCAGCCTAGGATTGAGCCACCAACCTTGATGGTTTAACCCTCTCTACCATCTGAGTCACAGCTGAAACACCTCTATGATAAACTATCTCTTTGCTTTTGTTTGCGCTGTTTGTGACATCACACGGCTTTGGTTTGTCAAATCAAGTCAATATTTATTTAAACAGCCCAAAATTACATAACACAAATTTGCATCAAACTGCTTTTCAGCCTGTACAACACATATACGCTGCAACAGCAGATACCCTCTATCCTCAGATCCCAGATTTGGGTAAGGAGAAACTTGGAGACATTTTTTTAAAAATGGGAAATGGGGAAAAAAGATAGCGACGCAGGCAGGTTTCCTCTTCCAGAACAGACAGACATGCAGTAGTAGTAGCAGCAGTCATATATACAGACAAGACAAGAGAAGCAGTAGCCCAACCACAAGTTAGCTAACATGTACACAGCCGTTCCAAATTGCTCTGCTGGTGGATGCTTGTGAGCATTAAAGGGATAGTTGAGATTTTTGAAGTGGGGTTGTACAAAGCCCCGTTTCCTCCAAACACTTTCAGTATGGTATCTTTGGAACCAAAAGTAACCCTTCAGATATGGTACCTAGACCCTAGGTCCATTTAGCATGTCCACAGCAAACAGTACTCTTAAATGTGGGCGAGGTTGTTGTCTCTCACTGCTTTGTCCAGCGCTCACTGTATTTCCTCCTTGATCAGTCTGCATCTCGTTTATTGTCCACAGAATGGGGTGGCATATTGACATTTTCAGAACAAAATAAACAGGCTGCAGTGAGAGTCTCTCTTGATTGGATATTTAAAAATAGCAGGTTTGTGCATTTAGTCCTCCTCGGGTAAGCCCAAGGGTTTTGCCGAAACCCACAGGAACGATGCTCTGCAACACTTTTTTTATCTCCAAGAGAGGCTTGAGATATAATGCTGTTCACATAATCTGGTCAAAATTAATGTATTGGTGTAAACGCTTAAAGATAAGGATGTACTGCTCAGTGGAAATGGGGCTTAAGATACTTATCTATAATCAGTGTATTACATACTGGAGTACCACCATGGAAGCTAAGCAAAGTGCTGCTGTGGACAAGGGGAGGCAAAAAGTATTTTACCATCTAGAAAAAGGCCTACCTTAACAAAATCAATGTCTGTTTAAATGTACACTATATTCAGAATATTTTCACCACTTAGCCTTGCTGTCAGGCTGCCCTTTCTGACGGGAAAGCTGTTATCTATGCTCTCCTCAAAGCCAGACTCCATTCAGAAAAATAGTATTTTTACCTTGCAAAACACAGGAGTTGCTGGTCTACGGCTGCCTCAGTTGGTTAGTTAGTTTGTGTTGTGCATCTTTGGTGTTTTAAAGAGTTAGTACGGATTCACCAAAGTCACACAATAACACAAACAAACTAAGGTGGGGCGTTTTTTGGGTGGCTAAAACACATTTTACACACAAATTGCTGCTGCCCTCATCCAAAGCATTATGTTGCTCAGCTTTTGTGCCTGTACTCCAGCCTGTTTGTTTGCCATAGACTGTAGGTAATACACTGACTGTGAATAAGTACCTCGCACAACCCCACCCAAAGATATCCAAACTATCCCTTTAAGAGACATATGGCACAGAAAACCCCCCTCATTATTCTCCACTGACCCACATAGAGACGTCACAGTTTGTGCTGCCTTTGCACATACACTCCCATGGCACAGGAGTCTTTTAAACAGAAGGGGAGTTGTGTAATTCATCACTGACAGCGGCGCTCCCCTCTGTGTCACCACTGAAGGTCACCCCTCCGGTGGGGCTCCCTGTGCCGGCTGGGTTGAAAGGACAGTAGGACGGAAGCTGGGCTGCACTCAGGGGGAGTAAGGGGAGCTGTGGGCCTGTGGGAGTAAAGACAATGCACCATGTGATACTTCAACACACCTCACATGTCCTTGTCTGTCCAAAACACACTCAGAATATCCAGGTGTTGGTGATACCTCTAACACACATTACCCTCTCTGTCTCCTTCAGCTGGGCAGCTTTCCTCAAGACCTGGCTACCCTTCTTCATGCTCTGCGGAGTCTTCGGCACATTCATCCTAACATTTAACCTGCAGTAGTGGAGCGAGCAGTCCAACAGGATGACTCAAAGACTTTGGTTATACTTAATACATTGTCACCGGCTGTTGACTTGAATGATGATGATGATGATGATGATGTTTTGACGGGACGTTTGTTTGTACAAAAAATTCCAAATGAAGGATTTCCTTGTGTGTTGGTGATGTAGTCTCTAGGAGGCTATTTAAAGGAATGCTTCACCCACAAAATGACCATTTGTATATCAGTTACCCACCCAGTGTAAAGTTGAATTAATGAAGAAAACTTTGTTTTTCTTGCATGCCTCCACGGTGAACGAAGAATCCAAAAATGGTTAACATTCTTGAGGAATTGAAGTAAAGTGGGGCTGCTTTTAACAACAGCCAAATTATATCAAATCATCCATTTACAGACTCTCACACAGCTCTTGCAGTATCATCCAAGTCCCATTTATTCAGTTGTAATACTTTAATAATCCACATAAACAGTCTCATGCACAAACAAGTTGCACACCTCTGTAACTGAATGAAATACTTGAGCAGAATGCAAACACAAAGCTTGTCCATGCACGCTACTCTTAGCCAGAAGTGCTTTAAAGTCCCCACAAAACAAAAGTTAGAGTTCTTTAGCTTCTGTAGTGTGTTGTATGTCCCAGTCAAACGGAAAATTTAAGCAGCATACAGTTGCAAGATGGATTTAAGTCAAATATTTCGAATTGTATTGGACTGCTAAAAAGTGGGCAGGCTTAGAGTTTAGTGCGTTAGGGAGCTGCAGCAGAGTCCGCTATTGAGTTAACTGTTGACTCCACACAAAGACTTCCCTCACCGTTAGATCAGGAAGGGGATGACATGGATGAATCAGCCATATTGCTTTGGAAATGAAAACAAAGGTTTTGCCCACTGATATCCAAACACACATCTCTTTCTATCTCTCTCCATACTGCTCTGTTAGCTACTGCAACCCACAAACATTGACGTACGGTTTATGTGAATAGCGTGGTTAGCTAGTTGCTCAAAATTTCATTGGACTGGATGAACTTTTGTAAACGCCCTTGAATGCAGGATGAGTCATTAAACTGTTTTACATGGTTGTTCAGAAGATAAAAAACAGGGATTTTGATTTAAAAACACTCTGATAATGATTTTTACACTTATTTGGCAAGTGAGAAAAATGATCATTTAACACTGGGACACAGGATTAAAACTGGAAAAATGTTTTTTCCATTTCATGGGGACTTTAAATAGAAACGTTTCAGCAAAAATACATGTTTTAGAAGTACAGCACAAATTGCATGAAAGTTTGTTTTTGGATTCTACGCCTACTGTACAAGAAAAGATACATTTTTTCCACAAATTCAAGGTAACACAGGGCGAGTAAGGGATATACAAATGACCATTTTGTGGGCAAAGTGTTCCTGTAAAGGCAAAGCCTATCTGTTGGTGTGTAGTTAGCTTTGAAATCAATACTGTTGAAGCTGTCAAGAATTTTTATTTCTTTACTATTTATGATTTAGTCAGTTGAGTAAGTTATGGTATCTTCAAAGTTCACCATTACTGTTTTTCACACAGTGGGTTCAGTTTTGCTTATTGAGAGTACTACAAGAGTATTGCGCCGCAGTAGAGTAATACTGTTGAATTCGGGGATGTACTTTTTCCAAGAATGGCAGTGATGAATGTGTTCCTGCAATGGCTAATGTACATTTCGGTGATGAATCACTACAGAATGGATCATGGAATCTTAATGGTGAAAGTATTCATCAATTATTTGTCTAAGAGATATGAGCCGCTACCAAAGATAGGAATGATCAAGGACCCACATGTGAAAAATAGTGTTATTGTGCTGTAAAAACGCCTTCCTCCCCTCAGTCCTCTTTCCTCGGGTGTGTAAATCAAACCTGTTAAGTGTTTTCTTTGACATGAGTGTATTGTTTGCATTTCTCCAGACAGAATTTGAATGCTTACTAACTGTGCATCCTCATGCTGGAACATTACTGTAACTCTAGTTATGAGCAATACGACGTTACATTATGAGTTGATTCATTTTTGATGCTATGTACCTAAAAGAGTATTATTTATTATTGTATATCTTGTTCAGTTTGATGTTTGTGTAACTTTATTTTGGTCTGTGCTTTATACAAAGCCTTTTCAGTCTCCCCTGGCAGACTGTAGTGTAGGTCACCTGCTGTGGATGCCCTAATCGTCCTCTGTACCTTTAAGGGAACCACGTACCTTTTTCATCCAGCAGATTCTGCTTGTGATATGAACTACCATCAGTTCACAGGAACCTTTATTCCCAGACTGGAGCAGATGTTGAGGGGCTGATCTCGGAGTGCTCTTTGCCGCCTCGGCAGCATTTGATAAGCTGTGTTTAGAATTTGACTCCCTATTTTTTTCTGCTGTATTTCAAGTCATTTTTTGTATCTTTATTTTTAACTGACTGTTATTTAGCGATGTGTGTTTTTGCAGTCTGGGTGTTTCTGGGAATCCTTCTCTGTGCACCATACCAGTGTTTGGAGTGTCCTTTTGGCTGTGAGTGTTTTGCTGTCACTCGCACAGTGAAATGTGTTTCTAAGGATCTGCTCACGGTGCCACAGAGTATCCCAGGATATGCAAAGACTGTCATCATCACAGGGAATGATATACATCACATTGGACCTGATTCGTTTACAGAGCTGGAGAATGTCAGCAACATCATTTTAAGCAATAATAGGTGAGAATGTCAGTGTTTGTTTTGTTGTTTCATTCATGTATTTTGAGCTATATTTGAATAATATGACTAACTTTCTTGATGTGTATCTAATAAATATGTAAAATTTATTTCTCTAAATGTGTTTTCTTTTTATTTGTTTACTTTGACAGGACAGTGCGTTGCATCCAAGCATGAAATTAATACTTAATGTCTAAGTACATATGTGACAGTGTTAGTCGTCTTCACAGGATTACAGAGATGGTGTCTCACAGCTTCTCTTCCCTCATCAACTTGCGCTTCCTGGACCTCAGTGAGAACCAGCTGGCCCTCATCCATCCAGAAGCTCTCAGCATACCTGGCAGTCCCCTCCAGGAGCTCAACCTGAGCCGCTCGCTGCACAACTTCACAGCCCTGACGGACCTCACCACGGCTCTACGCTGGGGCGGCCTCAGGGGGCTCCTCCGCCTCGACCTCTCTGGGAACCACCTCGCCCTCCTGCCCCCGGGGATGTTCTCTCACCTTCCCAACCTGCAGCAGCTCTTCCTCACTAACAACTCTCTGATGGCTGTCTACAGTGGAACCTTCTCTGGAATGAGCCACCTGGAGGTGCTGGACCTTACTCGCAACGCCTTCATGACCTTCAGGGCTGATGCTCTACAAGAGCTGGAGAAGCTCGGGAACATCCGAATCTTTCTTGGTGACAACCCCTACATCTGCTCCTGTGAGATCAGAAATTTTGTGGCCTGGCTGAATGAATCAAGAGCCCAGGTGGATGTGGACGCTGTGAGGTGTGCCTCACCGAGAGGGTTAAGCGACACCCGACTGCGAGGACTAAGCATCCAGGCTATTGGATGTGTTGTTCCAGTCCAAGCAGAGGTGACGGACCTCACCCTGCAGACATCATATGTCTTCCTAGGGCTGGTGCTGGGCTTTGTGGGCATGGTCTTTCTCTTTGTTCTCTACCTGAACCGCAAGGGTATGAAGAAGTGGATCACTGATATGAGAGATGCGTGTCGGGACGTTCTGGAGGGGTATCACTACCGATATGAGATTGACTCAGACCCTCGGCTGGGGCACATCGCTGCAAATAATGGTGGCAGCAGGGCACGAGGGCACTTAGGATTACCTTTGTCGCAGCAGCTGCCAAGTGACACCTGTATTGTTCCTCCAGACACACATGTCAAACAGCTGAAAACCTCTCCACCTTTGAACCTATGATCTTTTAATGAAACTAGAATCATTTGAGAAAGCTGTAGATGTGTATAGTTTATGCCGGTAGATTTCCAAGTCATGTTTTTGAGCCTCCTGTACATAATGCAGTTACAACCTATAAATCTCACCTTAAAAGTGCCTTTGTGTTGTTGAGGCACTTGTGTTCATAAATTTACCTTAGAAGAATACTCCATCTCTAAAATGACCATTTGTATATTAATGTCTCACCTCATGTTAGGTTGGATTCGGAAAGAAAACTTCACTTGCCTCCACGGTAAACGAAGAATCCAAAAACAGAAAAGTCTTAAGGGTTTCATAACAGCAAAACTACATCAAAACATCCAATTACAAACTCTCAACACAACTCGTGCAGTATAATCCAAGTCATATTTATTCAGTTGTATGCTCAGGACTGCCCAAACGTGTGCATTTTTACCAAAACCTTACAATTAAAAACACTTCAGCATAAACAGCACAGGTGGGCTCTTCATCCATGCATGAGACTGTGTAAGTGTTTTGAATAATAAGGTTTTAGTGAAAGTGTACATGTTTGGGAAGTACCAAGCATAGGAGTGGAAAAATGAGACTTACATTATACTGCAGGAGTTGCGTTAGAGTTTGTAAACACATGTTTTGTAATAGTTTTGCTGTTGTTTAACATGGCCCCCTATGATGTCAATTCATCGAGAATTAATGCTGTTTTTGGATTCTTCGTTCACTGTAGAGGCATGCGAGAAGTTTTCTTCACAAATTTAACGTAACACGGGGTGAGTAATTGATAAATAGATTATCATATGGTGGGGTGAAGCATTCCTTTAATAATAATGTATGTTTATTATACATTTTATAAGAATATAAATATTGATAGGTTAGACTGAAAACGGACTAGACAGCCTGCATCTCATTTCCTGTCAGTTGTGGTTTGTTTGCCTTTTGCTATTAGTATCTTGACTTAAAATATCTTAACATACTGCAGAAGACTGCCAGAAAGATAAGTGACATATAGTTCAATGGCTTGAAAAAATGCATGTTGACACCCAGTAAATTTTATATTAGGTACTCAATCCTTAATTCAATTATTAATGTATCTTTATTGTGCTAGAATCCATAATATGATCTGTATTACGATATTCAAATGAATAGATACTAGAGCTCCTGTGTGATGTGAAATCTGTATTTACATTCATTATGAATATAATAAACTTTTATTATCGTGCCCCTGTTTTGTTGTGACGTCAGTGAAACCACAAGACACCACGCTGCACACGCAGACACATATTTTCTCTCCAGGTGAAGTGGCCCTACTATTTCAATCCAAAGAGTGGGTGATTAAGTGTTTCCATGGAGGGAAAAATAGGGCAGAATGAAAGATATTGCTTGGAAAACACCTGTTGGCTCTGCAGCTGCAGTGCACCTTTGTGTGCATTGTGTGTGTGTGTGTGTTTTCACAGCATGTGTGTGCACAAATGAAGAACTTGTAACAATGTAAAGTGCAGGATTTAACAGTTTATTAGTCGTGTTGCATCACCTAGTGGCAAATTATAATCTAACATGATCAGAGGTGTCACTTTTCCTTTTTTTCTTCTTCTATTACACATTTTATTTTTCATTTTTTAAATTCCAGGTCTTCTTTTATTGTTTTTTTTTAGCGTCTTTTCCTCCTCTCTCCTTTTTTTCTCTTTCCTTCTGTGCTTTTATATCCGCCTCGCGTGACGTCACCACTCACCTGTGGGTGGGTGTAGGATTCTGGGATTAGCTGTAGCCGCAGGTAATAGCCAAACATTGGGAGACTCACGGCAACAGAAGACTGCGTTTTACGGACACAAGAAAAAAGAGAGACGACACGAATGAGCCGAGCTGTGCTGGTCAGTCGAGGCAGCCGACTTTAGGTTTGCAAAGTTTGACGTTACGTGGAAGTAAAGTCACCTGGGAATCTGTGGGCGGACAAAATCAGTCTTTCTTTCTCTGTTTGAAGCGCTAGCAAAAGTTTTCTGTGAGAGACTTCCGCGGTTTGCTCGCCGAGCAAGTTCTCTGGGATAACAGACAATCACAAGTGTTTCCTCATATGCGGTGAGTAAAGGTTTTGTAGGTGAAATTAAAAACGGGTAAAAGTTGAATGAGTTTTGGTGAGAGGTGTTTTCTGCACTATAGGCCAAACAAGCTTTAAGAGCGCGAGCGAAATGGGCCAAATTATTATCAGGCCAGCAATCAATGCACTCAGTTTTATTTACATTCTCAGAATTTCCGGGGAGGTTGCCTTACTGGCAGCAAAGTGTTTACCTCTTGACTCTATAATGCGGGCTACTTTTAATGTGTCATGGTGAGTTTAGTGTTGCAAGCCTGTGTGGCAACGCAAAAAGGGGAGGTTTCCACTTGGTTATTATTTCTAAACATGCCTCTCCCACTCCAGGTCCCAGGTATTCTGAGCCATGCCTGGCCACAGCACAGGGGCTCCCCAGACGTCCCGCCACCACAAACACCACAGCTCCAGCTCCAGGGCTGAAAAGCACAGAGCGACCCGGACTATATCCAGGGAGAGCACGGCCAGCCAAGACTCCTACAAGGATCCTCATGGGGAGCATCATGAGCACCACACTGACCACTCCCGGTATTCAGAGAACAAATATGGTCGCAGCAGGGGCCACCCGCGAAATGGCACGGGTAGGGGCTCAGAGACTATAGGATTTATTCCTGGGTCAGCAGACAGCACGCCCACCAGCAGACATGCCTGTGGCTCCTGTGCCTCCATGGGCTGGAGTGGCTGTAAGGCTCTTATCTGCTGTGTACTGACCTGTGGATTTTATGGCAGCCGGGAGCCCTGCCTGCCTGTTAACGAGAGCTCCACAGACCATCCCCCTAAAACAGGCAGCGAGCCTCACCCTCCTAATGGCATGGCTATAACCAACCCCACTTGTAACATCCCTGTGGAGTCAAACAAGTCCACCAAAACCTCCAAGCTGCCCATGAGTGACAGCTTCCGCTACCCAGATGTGCGCATCGCAGGTAAGACAGTAAGGTATCCAGTTGCTGCCCCCAGACGAACCCGCACGCCTGGCAAGGGGGAAAGCGAGCGGCCTGTCAGTAACACCAGCCTGATATCCCGAGAGGACTATGACTTAGATGAAGTGAG